GGTCATGGTGCTACTGATCCTATTAATCTGCCCCGCCCTTCTCTCTAAAACCCGCCAACATCTTAATGCTCACACTGGAGGAGAGGCAGGAAGGCAGATGGAGGAGATGGAGGAAAGAGAAAATGCTTCTGTGTTTGGACTTCTGACCTTCCCTCGCTCTGGCTCATTCCTCTGCCCCAGCCTCAGGTTTTCGGGGAGGACTAAGTCTGAGGGTCTGGGGGGATGGGAAGAAAGGAGCCACATTTCCAAAAAAGTGGAGACCAGAATTAGAAAAAAAAATCCAAAAACATTTTATAGGAATGAGTTTCATTTCATCCCCTCCTTCTCTGCTTTCCCCGTGAGCTGGCTGGTGGGAAAGGAGCTGAGGGAAGCTTATAGGCAAGGGAGGTGTTGGGAGCAGATGCTTAGGTTCGAAGGGGGAGAACCCTCCTCTAGCCCTCATCACACCCATCTGATAGTGTTTGGTTTTTAATTTCTTGTTTTTCAAGAAAAGCCAGAGGATATAGAAAGAAGGCACTATTCTCGCCCCTAGACCCCACCCACACAGTGCTTTCTGGGAGACCGGCTGGGACCATTGTGGGGCAGTGGAGACTGGGGGCCCCAGACTACTTTTGGTAGCCCAGAGGCCAGATTTCTGGGCGAGGCTGAGGCTGCTAGACACCAAACATATACACACACATGTTCCATGCTCCTGGCACCACCTTCCCCTGAGCATTGTGTGTGTGTGTGGGGGGGGGGGGGCACGGCAGAGATCAGTGAGGAGAGGTACCATTGCTCCAGGCACCTTATGACTCTTTCTTATTTGGGTGGAAGAAGGAGCTAGAGGCAAGTGTGCTTGTGCCTATTTTCTAGCAAGTCTGCAAGCTGGGGACCGGGGTTGCTCCCCTCTTTGGTATGAAGATAATTTATGAAATGGATGGGCTAGCAGAGCTGAGGCTGGGGGTCAAGTGGGTGTTTGTGGATGTGAGAAATGGGGAGGGGCCATTCAAAGCTTGGGTATGAGGCTTATCCCAGCTCCCCAGCCCTCCTTTTCTCTGGTTTCCTCCACATGTAGTCAGGTTACCTTCTTAACTTTACAAAAAAGTAGTTGTGGAATTGAGTTTGAGGAAAAAGGATTCACCAACACTCTCTCTCTCTCTCTCTCTCTCTCTTTCTCTCTCTCTCTCTCTTTCCCCTCTTAGAATTTTAGGATCTGGGTCACCCAACATTAAAAACAAAAACAAAAAAACCACCTGCTTTGTACTCACCCGTTTTGTATATGTGAAAAAGAGGAGAGAAGAGAGAAAGAAAATGGATAGACACAGGATATGTCTTTATGGATCCTTAGTGATATGCATGGAGAGATGACAGGTGAATAGGTAGGGACAGAAATGGGGGAGAAAGCTAGAGACATAACACGATTGACAATATGATTGACAATATCTTAACTACACAGCACTTTACAATGTACAATGCAATTAGATCTAGACAGACAAAAATATACCCTGGACCCCAGATCCTTCCTTCTATCCTGAGCATGACTTCTGTTGGCCACGGACAGCAGAAATCTCTGAAGAGGTAGTGTCCACTGGACAGAAGGTTATTCCTGTAGGTTTAAGTCAGAAGGGCCACCGCACCCCCAGACTCCAAACCCCTGGACCCTAAGGTTTGGGATGGAGGTGGAGGGAGGGTGTGGGGATGAGGCTGGGTGGAATCCTCCATGCAAGGTGGAGCTGGAGCTGGAGAGGCCCTGGCCAGGAGTCTTGCCCTCCCCGCATGTCTAGGCTTTTCTCGCTTGGCTATCTCCCTGTGCAGCCTCAAGCTCTGGCAATTGAAGAGAGGAGCTTAGACTGTCTAGGCCCTAAAATTATAAGACTGGGGCGAAAGAGTTGGTGAGAGAAAGACAGGGAAACAGGGAGATGTTAGGGGAGAAGATTGGTGTCACTCAAAGGACTTTAACCTTTGCATTCTCTTCCCTGACAGGTGCTGGGCATCCAGGAAGCCTGTTTGTTTCTGGTGTCATCGTAGGTGGCCACCTTTGGCTTTTGGGGTATTTATTTTTTTATTTGTTTCTTTTTGATGGTGGTGTGGGTATGGAAGAAAAGGAAAGCTGGCCCTGTGTCATCTGTTCTCTCTTGTCTCTACACCCTCTCTATCCCACTCCCTGTCTCTTCCAGCTTTCAGCCCCTGATTTTGTTCTACTCCAATTGTAGTAAGACCTGTACAGTCACTGCTAATGGGAATGGAACAAGGTGGCTTAGGAGTGAAAGGCCACCCTGTGACCAGTTGAGAGAGAAAGAGAGAGGGAGAGAGAGAGAGAGAGAGAGAGAGAGAGAGAGAGAGAGAGAGAGAGAAGCATTGGGGATCCGGGGAACTGTTTTGGCCTTCTCTCATAGGCTCTTGAGGGAGGAGATGAAGGCCAGTTGCCCATGAGGGAGAAGGGAACAGAGATATCTATTCATGGCTGACAGAGGTGAGAAAGGAGAGGAGCATGGCTTGTGGTGAATAGGTACTAGGGAGCTTAAACCACTGTGAGTGGGGGGGTGTGCCAGCGTGTCAGCCTCGGGAAGTGGTACTGCCAGAAGTATCTGTGGAGATGTATGTGCCCCAACCCTCAACCTTGGCACATCAGGTTGACACTCTAACCAACTGAGCTACCTGTCCAGGACGATTAATTCTTTAATTATCTCCTATGTCTTACGCATGTACGCATGTGTTGGATACCATCTATTTGAATATCTATGAAATTGCCTCTGCCCTTGAGGGGCTGTCTCATTTGTTACCTGAAGTAGTTTCTTCTTTAAAACTGGAGCAACATGGTTTACTATACAAACCAATCCCAGGACCATGATGGTGGGCACTTTTCCGTCCTTCCATGTCTTATCACTCCATCTCCATTGGAATAAAGACAGATGCCCTGCTTACCTTCATCCCTGAGCAGGAGTGGTGGGCCATTGGTTTCAGGTCCACCCAGACAAAACCAGTGACTTCATCAGAGAGGGCGGTCCCATGCAGATAAGATTGGGTGCCACAAAAGGTAGGAGAATTGGTTGGAAATTGGTGACAGAGAAGAAAGGGGACTCCTAACGAGCTTTGAAGGGATCTTGTGGGAGGGCAAATGGAGAAGTCTTTGTAGGGGAAGTTGGTGGTGTGTCTGGAGAAGTGTAGACTCTATTTAGAATTGCCAGAATGTCTAGGGATTACTGGGTATCCTAGAAAGGGTTGTGAGGTGATGTACTGAGAAATATTTGAGGTTTGTAGGCACAAAGAGGAATGGCAGAGGGGACTTATAGTTCCTCTGGGGCCTGGTATGGGGGATGCACTTAGGGAATACATTTAGCAGCATCCTAGTGGGGTAGATGTACCTTCAGGGACCCCTGTGCTCCCTCAGTGTTCCATTCTGAGCTGGAGGGATACCTGGGCGGGGCAGGAGGAAACAAACTAGGGAGCAGACAGTTTGGCTCTTTCCTTCCCTGCCTGCCTTTGGCCGGTGTGCTCCCAGTTCTGGGAGGGTGAAAGATTGACACCGTGGAAGCTTCTAAAAAGCCTTTCCCTTGAGAAAGGGCCCTGGGACACTGTGGAGACTGACAGGGAAAAGCTATGCCAAGCACAGTCCTGAGAATGCCCTAGACTAGGGGAACCAGGCAGCCTGCTTCAGCTCCACGCTGTGCTCTGGTAGGGAAGCACTCAGTCCCTGGGCTTTATCCTAGTTTTCAGTGTCCTCCACCTCACAGTCAGGCAGCAGTTATTCAGACATGCTGCAGTCTTTGAGGGAAGCATCAAATGAAACCCACTGGCCATTGGCTTGCATCTAACCCAGGCAAATAGCATTCAGGCTCCGCTTTGTGGCTTTGTCCCAGACTGCTCAGAGATGGGAGCAATCCGGCCAGGCCTGATGACCAAACCAGGGGTACTCTGGGGGTGCACCCTAGTTGGTGTAGTGTTCAAATATCCCTGGTGATAGGAACAGCCCATATTAAGCTGACAGTCTCCAGGTTTGCAAATCTAAATTGTAGGATTTATTTATTTTTTTTAGAGAAGGGGCCAAGTACAGTCAAGAAGTTGTAAGTTATCTCAGGACCCAGGATTCAAACTGCTCCCTGGTGGGCACAGAGGCTCAGCTAGGCTCTCCAGCCCAAAGAACCCAAATACCGCCTGCGGGCTGGCCTTACGGGGCTCTGATTCTCTCAGCTAGATGGGGAGCCAGGTCCGGAACCTGAAACCTTGCTGGAGAGGGATCCTGTTCCCAGTTACTCCAGACACCCGGAGATGGAACAGGGGTGGGGGCCAGGCCCGAGGGATGCAGGCACACGCAGTAGAGGAAGGAACGGAAGACCTCCATTACCGAGTCAAAATCTGCAGGTGTTGCCCGAGCTAATGCCAGCTGGGATCCTCCGGCCTCTCCCACCGGGAACTCTGGTGCTGTGAACAGGTACAAGAGCTGTTCCCGTTTCTGCACGAAGGAAAAGGAAGCCCAGCTTCTATCAGACTCCACGACTCCCAATAGGAGTCCCAAACTTCCAGAATCCCTCACTGTTTGGGGTTGGAAACCAACAAGCTAGGTTTCTGCCCGTCCTGAAAGATTAGGGTCACAGTCTGGGAGGAACCGGAACCGGGAAGCACAAAGAATATCCTAATGTGAGGAGGCAGGTAGGGATCGTCTCCAATCCTTTGGCTGTCTTTTCCATCTTTGAGTCCTGGTCCTGGTGCAGTGTGCCTAGGGCCAAAATGGAACATGTAAGACCTGCAGAAAGAGTGAGCTGCAAACGGCAATAGACTGGAGATGGCAGGCGGGTCTTGGAGATGAGTGAGGCAGCAAGAGGTTGGGAATCAGCACACAGACATAGTAGTTCCGCCCCGCCCCCACCCCATTCTCCAGGGGTGGGGCGCCCCAATTGCGCGCTCCGGCTCAAACTGGGCAGGGGAGGGGCGGGGCCAGAGGGGCAACCAGGCGGTGACGTCATGCTTGGCGGAGCCAATCAGAGGATGGCCTGGGGAGGGAGCGTGAAAGGATGAATGAAAAGTCCGGAGCCGGAGCGCGCCGGGCCAGAGCCGCGCCGGAGGCTGAGGCGGTCGCTGGGGAGGTGAGGCGCGCTCTTCCCCGCTCGCCTCCGCTCCGCCGAGGCTGAAATTCGGGTGGGTGACCCCGCCCCGGCGCCTGCTGAGCCCTGGCACCCAGGACCAAGGGCCGTGGCGCTCTATGGGCGGGAAGGGCCCGAAAGGACGGCGCCTGAGAGCATGGATGGGCACCTTGGGCTCGATGTAAGTGGCCTGGCCGGCTCGGGGCCGAGAGGGGCGAGCGCCTCGGAATCCAGAGTGCCCGTGCGTCGCCGCGAGGGGCCGGCCGCGCCCCACGCCTTTCTCGGGGTCCCCGAGACCTCTGGACGATTCTCGTTCCTGATCGAAACCCCCGCCAACCCCCAGAGCACCTCTCCCCTAGGACCCCCGGCCATTTTCACCGCCCCGGGTGGTTTTGGAGCTCTGGATACCATGCCGCTTTTCTGGGGAGTCCTGCAGGGCCTGGGGCTCGGCTCACCTGCCCCGCCCGCCCTGCACTTTCCTTCCCGCACTCCATCGCGGGCGCCGGCCGGGCTCCCTCCCCGGGTAGGTCTCTGCCCTCTCCTCTCCGGGAGAGACTTGCTTGGGAATCCCTGGGTCGCCTCCCACCCCACCCCACCCCACCCCACCGGCCTCCCTCTCTCTGGGTCGCCGGGATTTCCGTTTCCTACTGGGGCGCCTTCGGGGTTTTACCCCGGGTTTCGCGGCCCGCTCCCCCGTTAGTCGGCTGCTGGATGCAGCCCTTTCCCCTGCCTTCGCGAGTTGGGAGACGGTGGGGCCGGCCTCACTCCCACTTGGACCCGCTGGAGTCCGGAGGCCTGGCCTCGGCGCCTGTGGTCCTCCCGGCTGGTACGAAAGCCCGCGAGTCCCTCCTCCCGGGACCCGCGGAGCTCCCGCTTCAGGCCCGAATGGGGAGCGGGAAACGCGGCGTCGGAAGCTTTGGGGGTGGGGGTGGGGGGCGATCCCCGGACTTCGGTGCCACGGCCGTCGTGTCCTTTCCACGCCTTTTTCGGTCTCTGTGGTGTCTGTGTCCCTGGGCCTCCGAGCCTTCGGGTCTCGGACTCCGTCCCTCTGTCCGCCCCCCACCTCCCTCCGTGGACCCTCCCTCGGGCGGGCGACCGGGAGCGGCGGCGGCCGGAGGCGGCGTGGGAGCGGCGGCGGCGGCGGCCAGGAGGCGGGGTTGGTTGTTATCTTTGGTTATCTAGCTGTATGAGTGGTGTGGAGTCTTCATAAAGCTAGATAACCGAAAGTAAAAATAACCCCATACACTACGCACGGGGCCCCGGGGAGCGGCCGCACGGCCGGGGAGGGAGCGGGGGCGGCCCGAGCGAGGGTCCGCAGCCTCGGGGACCCACGGCCGGAGGAGGCGACCAGAGGACCGGCGGCCCGCCAGCCTCAAGACCGCCCGGGTCCGGGGACGTCCCGCCCTCCGCGCAGGTGGGAGCCGCAGTCCCGTTCGCTGGAGCCCGGCCCAGGGACTCGGCGCGCTGAGTTCGGGAGCGGGGAGGGCGTGCGGCTCTCTCGGGCGGGGGCCTTTCCTGGCAGCTTGTGGCTTGTCCGCTGCTGGGGGAGCTGCTCCAGGGGCGGGTCTGTTGAAACCCGGCGGCCGGTTATTCAGGACCGCACCCGGGGCTCCGGCCCAGGCCTCCCCGCTGGGTTCTGGGACAGGTTCCGGCGGCTGCCCCCAGCGGGGGCGGGGGTGGGAGCGGAGAACCCGGTGTTGCTTTTTTGGCTCCCTGGAGCCGTGCAGGTCTACCCAGCTTGGCTGGGAGCTGGGAGTGGCAAAGTGGAGATAGGGCTGGAGGTACCGGGTGGTGGTGGGGTTGCTCCAAAGGAGGACAGTGGCTGGGGAGCAGCCTGGGTTCGGGGGCAGTGAGTGCAGCGTATGTCTCAGCTCCCTTGTGTCCATATTCCTTCCTCCCTACAACCCAGGGCCTGAGCCTGATGTCTTGAAAAGCTTCTCATGCCAGCCTGTCTTCACTGACCAAAGGGTGGAGGTGGGGTCTTTCAGGACACCCCACCTTCCCACTCCATTCTCTCTCTCTCTCTCTCTCTCTCTCTCTCTCTCTCTCTCTCTCTCTCTCTCTCTCTCTCTCTCTCTCTCTCTCTCTCATCCCCAGGAGCAAATGGCCTTAAAGAGCTCAAACACAAAGGAATTTGTAGCTTAGTGGTTATGCCGCCCAAAGAAAGCAAGGAATTACATTAACCAGGGTCATTCCTAAAAGAGTCCATTGATCTGGCCTGACCTAAATACTTTAGGCAAAAGGGTGCTTAGGCGCAATGGAGAGGAGCATGGTCGAGTCATTTGGTAAAATAAAAGTAAATGTGGCCACAGCTAGAAGGAGCCCCCTCTGCATTTATTCTCTCCCCCACCCCACACCTCCTGGCATTCCGGAACACGGGGCAGGGCAGTGAGGAGTAAACAGAGGTCAGGCGAGCTGGACAAAACGACTTTGTACAACTCCAGCTTCCCGTGTAAATTTACATTTTCCTCCCAGGAACTGATTTTGAAGGTAGAAAATTATTACTCAATTATATATTATGTGGGAGAAATATTGGGGGTTCCAAACTGAAACTCGGGTGCTTCAGAGAGCCTAGAGTACATGTTTTCGTCCTTCAGAGCAGCGGTTCTCAACCTGTGGGTCGCGACCCCTTTGGCTGTCGAACGACCCTTTCACAGGGGTCACCTAAGACCATCCTGCATATCAGATATTAACATGACGATTCATAACAGTAGCAATATTACAGTTATGAAGTAGCAACGAAAATAATTTTATGGTTGGGTCACAACATGAGGAACTGTATTTAAAGGGCCAGAAGGTTGAGAACCACTGCTTCAGAGGATTGGAGAAAGGGGGGATTAATGGCTTCTTGCTTTCTCAGCTGTTTGGAATTTGGGGGGTCTTGTTTTTTGAGGGTGGCGGTTGAAGATAGGGTTAGGGAGAAAGGGAGCAGGTTTGGAGGAGGGACTGATACTCCTTAATACCACACTATACTATACTTTCAGGTAACAGTGCTCTGCCTACGCCCCTGGCTTTGCTCCTCCAACCCTGTGCGATAGCTGTTCTTAATCCCATTTTACAGATGAGGAGCCACAGGCTCAAATGAGGTGCTATGCCACTCACTGGTCTTAAACCCACTTGCCTGTGAGAGGATCTGGAGAGGGTGGGGCAGGGAGACTGAGATGGGGATGAGCTGAGGAGGGAAGAGGGAAGGTCTGTGCAGATGCAAGCCTGGTGGTGACCATGGGCTGAAGGGAGTTGGCATCTGATAAGATGCCAAGAAAGAAAAGGCCTCCCCCCCCCCCCCCCCCGCTTTTTTAGCTTCTCATGTAGTCTGGTTTGAACATGTGGACTTGGGATCTAATGAGGCTCATCCACATGAGACTTAGAACCTGTATTATTTAAGCACAATGGGTTTAGGTTATGATCCTTGTGTCCCATTAGCACACATTTGACCACAGAATCCCCAAGAGAGAATAGGTAGCCCAAGGGAACTGCTGGTGGGTTGAGGGTTTACATTCTACAAAACAGGTGTTGCAGTGGAAAGGGGGAACAGAGGCCAGAAGGATGTCGGGGTGAGGGTTTGTGTCTGCTTTGTGTGTGCCTGCAGGTGTGTTGGTGGGGTTGTCTGAATGATGGGTGATTGCTTGTGAGCTGTGTGTGTCTGCATATGAGGGTGAGATACTGACTGGTGTGTGGCCTCGTGTGAGTTTGGATGTGTGTGATCCACGGTGGGCAGGAAGCTCCACTGTGAGATGAGAATGCCTGGCTATGTACAGGTGTAAAACCACCAGAGGGACAGACCCTCTAAGGCGGGGGTGGGGTGGGGGGGTGGGGAGTGGATTTACCAAATGCAGACATCACAGTGATCACTGAGTCCTTCCCCAAACTTTATGCAAAATAGCACCTCCTCCAGTTGAACCCAAGATGAGAACTGATGGAATGGGGTGCACGAAAGCTGACTTGAAAGGGGCTGGGAAGGGCCTCACCAGTTACCAGTTAGGAAATTTCTCCCTTTGTATCATAATGCCTTTGTCTGTGTTCAAGAATATTTAGTTCTGTTCTTCAAATCTTGCAATATCCATTTATTCCTACTGGAAATCAAATTCTAAGCTGGTTTCTTTATCCATCTCTGTCCTCAGCTCTTTATCCCCAAACCATCCTATTGAATTCTGAGTCCAGGAGTTCAAAGGCAATTTCTTCCTAAGCATCTGACTCAAGTTTTGCATGATCACTCATATCCTCATCCTGGGACAATCCCCCCCCCCCCCAAATTCTAGACATTGAAAGGGCCTTGTTGAAACGTCCTTCCACAATCATCACAATCAGCAAGCCTGAGGAGGGACAGAAATAGAAATAGCAAATGTGACTAATCCAGATTCTGTCTTCAGGAGCCATGACTTACACAGATCGCTGAGCCTCAGCTGGATGTTTGTATAATGGGGATGAGAATGTATATACTTGGGCTGATACATGGAGCAAATGGAGAATTCTATATGGAAGGTCATATAATATGCTATGATGCCCACGGGTAGAGAGTGATTCTTCCATGGCAGAAGGGTTAAAGGCTACAGTTTGGGATGACTCTTTGAAAGCCTCTGATTGATCTCAGAATGCAAAGAGGACAGCTCTTTGGCATATTCTTGACTGAGGAGCTCAAAGCATTTAAACTGGAGGAAGTTTATTTTGCTTTTATAGCTTTGGGAGTCCAGGGAGGACTCCTAGGGCCTGTGTGGGCAATGTCTGAAGCCTGGGCAGAGGATCAACAACAGTCCTTGGGAAGCCTGTTAAGGGAAGAGGCTGGAGTCCACATGGCAGAGTGGCCATTGTGTTTTTCTCCTTAATGGATCTTACCACTTGTTTGTAAGAGTATTTGAGATTGGTAAACTGACTTATGTAGACAGAGAAATAAGGTTTGTATAAGTAACAATTCCAAGTTTTTCCACTAACCTTCTAGAGTTACTAAAAACACAGTTTATTAAATTAAAGGACCAGTTAGGTAGTAGGTATAATTAACAAACCAAGTAGACACTCCCAACTGAATTCCCCAAATTGGTAACCCACCAGAGAAGCATCAGCACCGCCCCCCCCCCCGCCCCCATTCTCCATCTGCAAGTCCTTCTTGGAGTCTGCTCTTTCCAAGGGTTGGGAGTTGGAATGCTGATACTTATTTCTTTACCTCCTTCCCGGCCCGATGTTCTG